CTCACCAAACATGACATTCGTTGTGTCTGAGGAATATCCTATGATATTTTCCATTGGAATTGCTTTTTCATTAAAAGCGTTCTTGATTGCTTGATAAAGCCCGTTTGCAGTTGAGTCTACGACAGATACCATGTCAAAAATCTGGTGACAATCTTCATATCGCTTTCATCAAAATATACCACGCATATTCCTAATTGCTTTTCGGTGGAAACATCGGTTGTTTCATCAGGAATTATGCTGAAATACGATTTCGATTTTCGTAAGATTTCCACAAGCTCCATTTGAAAATACAATCCAACACCTTGCCTTATAATGTTAGTGCACCGTGTGGATGACAAATGGATCCCTTTGAGGATCTCGACTTCTTTCCCATTTTTAGGTGCAACTGACTTGAACAAACTCATCAAATTATTTATCAAACTCAATGGCAGGTTATGCTGTGCAAGGAAGGAGCACATTCGAGCCTCTGTTGTTTCTTTATAGGTGGTGATTTCGTTTTGACGTTGTAGGCATTCAACAAGGTTGCCTTGTCTTTGTCCAGCCGCTATCTCTGAAAGTGCCCTTTTGTGTTGTGCAGATTGAGTGTGTCGTCGAAGAGCAGTCTTCCGACACGATACTGACCTTTTGCACAATTTGCAGGAGCAAGCATTTTCCCCAGGACGCGGGCGTACCAACCAATCCTTAAATTCTGTATCCTCTAACCACTGATGTCTGAATTGCTGTACATATACCTTTTTTGCTGTCTTTTGACTCTTTTCAGGCGGTCCTTCGTCTGCTGACTCTGATCCGGACTCTTCTTCCGCGTCTTCGTTTTCTTCGAAAAACGTGAGATTGAAACCGCTCATGTTTAAAACATTAAACACATCATTATTCTTAATATTTTTTGTATAAATTATTAATTTTTGAAGTGTATTTTCCACGTGAATTACGTATTGTTAAGGAAATACTTCATGTTACTATGTTATGTTTGTCTAGGGAATTTTACGGAAATCTGAGGAAATTTTGAGAATTTTTTAGGCAAATCTAAGGAATTCTTAAATTTGATTGTGAGAGCCCTGGTTTGGACATATATGCAATGTATAGCCTCGGATGTTATACGTATTCTCTAATAGCTCTGCGTCCAAAACTGAACATAAACACATTAAATTACAAATTTATTACTTAACACTTTTTTATTAATTAATGCAATCTCAAAATCTCTGGTCGTTTTTGATAACAAAGTCTTTAATAATCAAACTTAAGTCCAGTTTATCAGTTCTGTTTTTGTATACGTGCATAACAATAAGACAGGGCATTTGGTATAGACTTCTTAGCTTAAGGCCCCATTTATAATTTCTCTTTAATTGCTGGAAAAAAGGGCACTTTCATTCCACAAAAAGCGAATATTTTCTCCTTGCACAAAAAGTGTGTGTGTGTGTGTGGGGGGGGGGGGACCCCAATGCCTCCCTGGTTCCGTGTATATTTTAAAATGTGATATTAATAGCCTCTCTCGCGTTGCACTTTAATCCTGCTTGTCGAGGTTCTTAATAACAGCAGTTTTTTATAATTTTAAAAGTGTAAAATTTAAGACTGTCTTGTCACGTTTTCTAGATTAACGCCTGTATTCTAAAAGCTCACTCACACTCAAAGAGTGGAGGTTCGATTTAAGCTTCCCTCGAGTGCATGTCAATGCTGTTTTTGAGTAGCTTCATGGAGGGTGAATAGTCGCATAGTGCCATAGTAAGGTACGACACTAACTATCCAGCTATTCTGAAACAGCATTGACACTCAAAGGCAGCTCAAATTGAACCTCCACTCTTTGAGTGTGAGCGTGAGTGAGCTTTTAGAATTCAGGCGTGTGCCTTGCTTAAGTTCACTATATATACTCACTACACTGGCACAGAGACCGTTCGAGTATATCTCATTTTAAACAAGTAGTTTTCTTTGCCAACCAGCATATTTGGGAATTAGTGTCTATTATGGAAGAAAATATGAATAATTAATTTATTACCTGTAAATAATAATGTGTAAAGCTGTTGTCCTGCGTTAGATTTTCGGCATCGATATATTTACTTGTGTTGAGCAATTCGCACAGAAAACTATTCGCTGCCAACTTCTTGACGTTAAATGAGAAACATCCTTCACTTTTCGTACAGCTTGCGGTACATTTAATTTCTTTGGCAACCTCAAAAGACGCCAGAGGCTTCACAGCCAAGCGGTGTTTGTGGAGGTGAACGAAATTTTTTAATTTCATTTTCCCCCTCGCACTTTCGAGCGTTAGTTGTACCATTGCATGGCTTAAAGTGATTATGGCACACAATATTGGAACCAAGCGAACAAGCCTCATCTTGTCAATGTTTTCTCATCGTTGTCAAAGTCAAATGAGTCGTGTTTAGTTGACAATGCCAAGTTTAAGTTATAACAGGTTAAAACCGCAAACAAAAGGTTGACTTGCGGTCATAATACCTCCACAAATTGTTTTTTTTAAACTGTGGAAATCTCGAGTGGAATTTTTAAAAGTGATGGCAAATATATGACTCATATCCTACGTTCGAGGTTTATAGCCGACTTATTTACTAGTCCAGGAGGTTTTCGAACAAGGTTTCATCAATTTCAAAGACTTTTTGTCGAGTTTTGTCGACAAGTTTCATCTAATTATTTATTCACGGGTTATAACCTGTATACATCCCGCGGTAAAATACGTTACTAAAATTAGTATTATTTGTAAATAATTGTATTATTGTAAATAATTGTATTATTATAAAACTATGGCGAGATTTTTTATTTATTGGTTTACGGATTAAAAAATATTGTTTTTCAAGATTATCACAACGATAACATGAGCCAAAGTTTAATTGACATGTACTTCATGTCAGAACCCCAAATTAACTAAAATTAACTAAAGTCGTAAAATTGTTGACATCCAATTTTTTTTATCTTTCACTTTCTGAAAATTTACGGTCGGCGGATCCATAAACCAATGAAGGAAAAAAGTCTCGCCCATAGACGGCACTGGGAGACTGTATACGTCAGCCAGGGAATTAAGTTATGCATCATGCATAAATTATACAATGGGCTAAATTTTAATCTAAGTAAAAAGAAGGGAATCAAACGCCACAGCTAAAAAGAACATAATGAAATTAGTAAAATTGCAAAATTTGGTTGCGAAATGTTCTAAAGCTTGGAAAATATAGTCTTGCAAAGTTTGCAAATTTTGTATAATAATGTTTGTATCACGTGCGGGAATTGTTACCATTTTCGGCTCGAAAATGTTAACAATTTCCGCACGTAATAAAAACATATACAAAATGTGAAAACTTCGTAAGGCTATATTTTCCGTATTTTACAACATTTCGTAACCAAATTTTGCAATTTTACTAATTTTATTAAGTTCTTTAGCGGAATTTACTTTTTTTGCCTAGATCAAAAATGCGTCTAACATTAAAGTTGTCTATTATATAGCAAGTCAAACGTTTGCCAATTTCGAAAACCCTTTATTTTATTGAGGCAAACTGGAAGCACTCTTCTCCAATATAACTGCGTGAAATTATAATCATATAACAACGAACCCTGGCTACAGGGATGAAGATCACACGAACGTTCCCACTAAGAACTACCTAAGGTACGAAATTCACTAATGTGTTCTTTTGTTCTTTAGAAGAAAGCCAGGCCACGACATTTTCTCAGTCTGATTCCCACTGTCCGTGTGATTTGAAAGTTTCTCTGTGTGATGTTGGATGTTGCTGTGATCAGGTAAGATAAATATTACGATTCAGTGATCGTCGCGATCCAGCGATCGGAATGTTCCTTTCAATTTCACTTTTTTGAAAATTCCACCGTTCTCCATGCCATCCAGTCGTCAAAATGTTCCATTGTCTTATTGGTTTTTGAAAATCCCACTGTTTTCCATGCCATCATAGACAATCCAGAAGACATTCTTCTTGATTGAAGACATTTGTCTTCTGGATTGTCTGTGATGCCATCCAGCAACGATTCAGTGACCGGAATGTTTCATTGTTTTTTCATTGTTTTGTAAATCCCACTGTTCTCTATACCACCCAGTAATGATCCAATCGAAATGTTCCATTGTCTTTTCATTGTTTTGAAAATTCCACTGTTCTCTATGCCATCCAGTAATGATCCAGTAATCAGATGTTCCTTTGTCTTTTCATGGTAATTGAAAATCCCACTGTTCTCCATGCCATCCAGTCATGATCCAGTAATCAGATGTTCCTTTGTCTTTTCATGGCAATTGAAAATCCCACTGTTCTCCATGCCATCCAGTCATGATCCAGTAATCAGATGTTCCTTTGTCTTTTCATGGTAATTGAAAATCTCACTGTTCTCCATGCCATCCAGGCACTCGTTATTTTGACTTATCTATTCTCTTCCATCGCTCTCGCGTCTTTTAAACAAGACTATGTCTCTACAGGATTGTTCATCTTTGGAGAAGAAAACTTTTTCATGTATCCCAGGATACTTCGGTGGCTCAACGCAGCCCACGATATTTGAGTACGGTTGCCAGGAAACATGGAACGATGGCGACAACTACCTTGCAATACTATGTGTAGTAACGGACAACAATCCATTTCTTGGCCTACTATACGGCACGCCGCCCGCATCCGCAGGCGACAGCGTGCAATTTGACTCCCTGCAGGCTGGCTCGCCTGAGTACGAATACCGCGAAAACGAGACTCGCTCAATGGTGGAGGGTGACGTAACCGTGAGCGGGTATCGCGATGGCGTCATAAAGACAGACCGCGCGGTCCTAACACTTCCTCGGGGGATTGGTACTAGCGCATGCGCACGCTACGCTCCCGTTGCATTCTTAAGGGACAGTGCCACGTGGTGCAGCTCAGAATTCTCGGAAAGTATGTGTTCTGAGAAATCGTCTTGGAGTGCCTTGGATTACTTAGTTCCCAGTACAGCGCGGTCGTGTTTGACCTCTCCCCAGGTTCTCAATCTGAACAGCCGAGCGAACTCGTCCTCAGTCCCTACGCATGTCGAGTATTTTTGTGTCAAAGATTCAACCATATACACGACCGAGTTTGGAAAAGACTGGGGCTCAACATTGCAGGGTGGCTCACTTTTTAACACCGATCAGAGGTCTGGAAACGAATCCCCTGATTCTAGATGTGCATTCGACGATGGCGTCAGCAAACCACCTGCCCCAGAATTCAACGCAAACTCAAGGGAATGTTCAAATGTTGTACTAAAGGTTGATTATGACATATATTGGAAGGGAGGCAAAATCGTCCAATTGAGAGCAAAGGTGACCATGGGCGATATATCTGCGCCCGCGGGCAATTTGATCGTTGCTCAGCGGTTTTCTGTGAAATTTACATACCTTAACGAAGTTGATTTAACCAAGCTTCCCTTCATTCAGCCTGCGCTCGAGCAGAGGTCTGGGAACCCAGGGTACATCACAGGAAAGAAGGTGATAGCTAAGATCGACAGGGGACAATCAGGGACATCTTCGGTTACGGTAAGTATTCAAATTTTCATTGTATTCGTGCAGTGTCAGAGTAAATATGAACTAGTTTTTAATATAAAGGTTGAAAAAACCACAATGTAAAACGCACAAGTTACAACTAACCTGCAGCAGACTTGTAGCAATGCTGTTCCAACAACTTGTCAACAGGATGTGTTCGCACTGCTTGTTTCCAGCTTGTTAGCAAATTGTCAACGGCTTGTTGACAACTTGCCACAAGGTTGCTGAGCTCAACAGACTTGTTACAAGTTGTTCCAACAACTTGTTATCGTCCTGCAATTTATCGACTTGTTAACAAGTTGTGCGTGACAACCTTGTAGCAAATTGATAAAATAACAACAGCATTGTTACAATTCGTTGACAAGCTTGCTACAAGCCTGTTGCGAACACATCTTGTTGACAAGTTGTGAGATTTTTTACGTCTATAGAAAGCACTAATCGGCCTACACGTGTAAAAGCGCACAAGTTGTTACAAGTCTGCAAACAAGTTGTTACAAATCTGTTCACAAGCTGTCGACAAGTTGTGTTCGCACTGCTTGTTCCTAGTTGTTGTAACAAATTTGGAACAAGCTGTTAACAGCTTGTAACAAGCTTGATGGCATTATCAGACTTGTTACAAGGTTGTTTGGACAAGTCTGATACAGTCATGATATAACAAGAATGTTACAAGGTTGACGACACAAGGTTGTTAGTAACAATATTGTCATATCATGACTGTATCGGACTTGGTGGAACAACCTTGTAACAAGTCTGATAACACCAACAAGATTGTTACAAGATGTTAACAGCTTGTTCCAAACTTGTTGACAACTTGGGACAAGCAGTGCGAACACAACTTGTCGACGGCTTGGTGGTAGAATTGCTACAAGATGCGAGATTTTTGCGTGTGTAGTATTGACATGTCTATATAAACTGTTTTTAGATAAACCAAACATCCTTGGGTCAGCTCAGCCTATGGTCGCCTTCTGTCACTGGTCTCTGCACAGAAGCTCGAACGTCGGGCATTCTATTTGGTTTGAACAGTATGACTGGATGTTTGTTAAGGCTAACTTTGAAAGATTTTGCCAACTGCAGCTCATTGAAAGAGACTGTGTTGGAACATCAAGAAAATCTTCTGAAAGCAACTCATGTAGCAAGACGAGGAAATGTCACGCTGAATGAAACTAACGATTGGGTGTTGTTGTTGTAAGTATTAATTGACCTTGACCTGCCGTGGTTTGTGTTTG